TCCTCCTCGTCCTTCTCCTCCATCCTCCTCCTCCTCAATCCTCCATCCTCCTCCATCCTCCTCCTCCTCCTCCTCCTCCTCCTTCTCCTCCTCCTCCCCCTGAACCTCTCTCCAGCAGTTTTTCCGTTCTCCTCTTCCCCGTCCTTCTTTGCAGCCGAAATCACACACAACAGCCACAACGACACCTACCCCATCGCGACGCTGGATGTAAGAGCCGTTCTCCTCCTCATGCCCCTGCTCCTCCTTCCTCTGACTTTTGTTATGCTCCTTCTCCTCACCCTTCCCCTATACATGTCCCTCATCATCCTTCCTTATCCTCCCCATTCCTTCTACTCCTCGAACTCATGCTCCTCCTCCTCTTCCTCGTCCCTCCTCATCCTCTTCCTCCTCCTCCTCCTCCTCTTCCTCCTCCTCCTCCTCCTCCTCCTCCTCCTCCTATGATTCCTCTACTCCTCGTACTCATTTGCTCCTCCATCTCTTCTCGCGCGTCCCTCCTCATCCTTCTTCCTCCCTACATCCATCCTCCATTCATCTCCTCCTACTCCTCCTCCTCCTCCTCATATGATTACCCCTCCTCCTCCTCCTCCTCCTCCTCCTCCTCCTCCTCCTACTAGTACTCCTCCTGCTCATCATCCTTCCTCATCCTTTATCTCCTCCGTTTCCTATTTCTCCTCATTCATCCTCCTCCAGCTCCTCTCATACTCTCCTCCTCTACTCCATCCACGCATCCTCTTCGTCCGCATCCTTCCTCATCCTCCTCTCCTCATCCTCCTTTACTCATCATTATAATATTTTACTCCCTCACCTCCTCCTCCTCCTCTTCCTCCTCCTCCTCCTGCTCCTCCTCCTCCTCCTCCTCCTCCTCCTCGTCCTCGTCCTCGTCCTCCGCAACCTCCTTCGCAACCTTGCCCCTGCAATGTGGAACACCGTCTGTTGTCTAGTCTTGCCTTCTTCTGGCGCCACGCGGCAGCGAAGGCAGCCACATCTTGCTGACGGAGTTGCTCATGTGGTCTGGAAGATGGAACAGACAGCCCCACTCCCACACATCTTGTTTCGACGGGGCCACCCCAAGGTGCGGCCGCAGCTGGCGCTGAGACTCGCAGCTGGGTAAACAGGAAAAAGTACCGATGCCGCTGCTCCCTGGGCCTCTCCCTGGGGCCGCTCTGATCAGAATGGTATGGAGAATCCAGCGGTGGCGACGAGGGCCCTTCAGAAAGATCAGCCGTATCTGGGGAAACCAAACGGTACCGATACCGCTACTCCCCAGACCTCTCCTGGGGATGCGTTCTGACCAGAATTTCGAGGCGAATCCAGCAGTGGCGATGAGGACCTCCGAGGAGGCCAAAAAAGGGGATAGCAAGGAAAAGGTAGAGGTATGGGTGCCCCTTCCTCCTCCGAGTGTCGGCACCTGTTCCTCCTCCAAACCTCGCAACTGGGCTCGGCAGTCCGCTCGGACCGCCGCCGCCGCCGGCGTCGAAGTGGCATCGTGCCTGCCACGGCGAGCCTCGGCCACGCAGGGGCTCCCCGAGCGCTTGCCACGGCGAGCCCCGGCCACGAGCAGGCACCCCCCCGCCCGATGCATCGCAGGAAGCTCCCAGGTCGTGGGAGGCTCTGGTTTCCAGGGACAGGAACGGCCCGAAAGCCAGAGCCTGAGGAGGAGGAGGAGGAGGAGGAGGAGGAGGAGGAGGAGGAGGAGGAGGAAGGGGAGGAGGAGGAGGAGGAGGAGGAGGAGGAGGAGGAGGAGGAGGAGGAGGGGAGGAAGGAGGAGAGGATGGAGGAGGAGGAGGAGGAGGAAGGGAGGAGGAGGAGGAGGAGGAGGAGGAGGAGGAGGCACGAGCCCAGGGTGGTCTCTACTTCGGCGCCCTGGCTGTGCAGCCAGCGCGACGTGGCCGATACGCCGAGGCCCCCGCGGTCACCACGACCGTGCCGGCCTTCCTGTGCTTGAGGGGCGCCTGGCGGCTGCGGCGTTCCCGCGCTTCCCCTTGTTGATTTGCATCATAGATAAGGACCCCATGACCCGTTGGGATGGGACCTAAGTTAGGACAGTTAGGAGGGCCAAAAACATGATAGGGATGAGGAGGTCTTTTCTGCATGCGTATCGGACCAGGCCGCCCAGATGTACTATCCCTAATGCAAAGATGAGGACCTCAGTGAGGCCACGTCTTCACCGTGCCATTATGTGGCCGGGCGAAAGGGGGGGATAGCAAAGGGGGGGGTGAGAATCAGCTCACGTAGCTGATTTTCCCGGCGCCTCCCGGCGCCGGAGGCGGCTATGTATCGAGGAATGGGCCCTTCGGTGGGGCCGAAACCAACTGCATGCAGCAGATTTCGTAACCCCCCCTTTCCCTATCCCCCCCTTTCGTCCGGCCCGACATTAGGGTTAGGGGTTCGTTTATCCTCGATGATCTGACCCCCTCCAGGACCAAGGAGGAGGGAAGGAGGATCGAATCTCGAGGAGGAGGAGGGAGGAAAGATCGAGGGAGGGAGGGAGGGCAATAGTGCTCCTTGTCGTCGTCGGCATCCTCCTCCTCCTCCTGCTGCTGTTGATCCTGCTCCTCCTCCTCCTCCTCCTCCTCCTCATCCTCATCTTCCTCTTCCTCTTCCTCCTCCTCCTCCTTCTCCCGCTCCTCCTCCTCTTCCTCCCCCTTCGTCTCTTCCTCCTCATCTCCCTCTCCTCATCATCCTCCATCTCCTCCTCTCGTGCTCCTCTCTCGCTCCTCATCCGCCTCCTTCTCGCTCCCCTTCCTCCTCCTCCTCCTCCTCCTCCCTCCTCCTCCTCTCCTCCTCCTCCTCCTCTCCTCCTCCTCCTCCGCCTCCCCTTCCTCCCCTTCCTCCTCCTCCTCCCTTCGACTTGCGGACCTTTGTCTCGACGAGTGCGGCCTGGACCTGGGACCCCTCCCTCTGGAGCGCCGGAGGAGCAGCAAGACCAAGAGGTAAGGAGAGACGAGGAAGAGCGACCGAACGGCGAGAACGCATGAAGCGAGAAGGGCCAGGGAGAGGAAGGGAGCGGGGGTAGGCTGTCTGTGGCGGTGCGGCAGCGCGAGCGCAAAAGGGGGCGCCCGAGCGTGGGCCCTAGCCCCCAAGGGGGGGGGAGCCCAGCCCCCCGGGGGGGGGGAGCTGGGGCCCGCTTCGGCGTGCCTCTCCTACGGTAGGGGCCCAACCTTAAGAGACCTGCCACAAGAAACCCAACCCTGAGACTCCAGGGCGTCCATTGATTTTTGGTATGGCAGCATCACGCCCCCCATAGCCAAACCATCGAAGCCCAAGAAACCCAGGGCACCCTGGAGGCGAGCAGGGTGTTCCTTGACGTGGGCCCCCCCCTGTAGAGTGGGGGCCCGCCTCCCAATCCATGAGGCCCGGAGGTCAAGAGGTGGGTGGGGTTCCTCGGTTCGGTGCGGCGCGGCGGCTGCGCAGCAGGAGGGGACGGTGAGTGCGGGGGGGGGCGGGCGGAAGAAGCCTCGGGGCGCTGGCCGCGACGAGGCTCGGCGCGGCGGCGTGGCGCCGCGAGGAGGGAGAGTGCAAGAGGTGGGCAGAAGTGGGCGTTTGGGCGAGGAGGTGAGAACCGAGCGGGGCGCCCCTTCTCCCCCGAGGTGGGGGAGCGAGGGCTCCCCTCGGCACGGCGCCCAGCTTCTAGGCCACCCTGGTCCGCGGCCGCCCAGCAGGTGCGTGCCGACAGGTGGCCCTGTTCTTGTCCACGCCCGTGCATCGCCACCCCATTCTCCCTCCCATGGGCGGCGGCCTGCCCCGGCGGGGCGAGGTGGGGGAGGTTAGCAAACGAAAAGCGGGGGGGGGGGGGCGGGGAAGCGGGGGGGGGCAGCGAGAAAAAGGGGGGAGGGGGGGACGGTTAGGGTGCGCAAGGAGGTATCTTAGAGGAGATAGTAGCGGGTGTCACTGGCGTCCAGGGAGTAGGCGAGGGGGTAGTAGGCGGGATAGTGGTAGGACAGGAAGCTGCGGTCCAGTCGGGGGAGGCTGGCAGCGTCTGGTTGGACGTGCCCTGGTGAAGGCATGGGGAACTGCTGGTGTTGAAGCGAGGTGTTCCGTCATTGCGGGGGATTGGAACTGCCGCTGCCGTGGCACATGGTAACTGCTGCTGCTGCTGCGTCCATGGTGGTAGTGAGTGCGCAGGCTGGGGATGGTGTGGTGGTTGTGGGAGAATGGGAATCGGTGGTGACCAGCTGAAGTGGCAGTGCCGTCGGTAGCCGTCGGTAGAGCAAAACTGGAGGAGGCGCGGCAAAGGTGGGCTCCGCGTGAGCAGCTGTGGCTGTAGAGGTGTAGCGCTGGAAGGTGTGGGGTTGATGCTGGTGCTCCTCGCGGTGAGGGAGGCTCGTGCCACAGCTCCTTCAGGCAGCATGAGGCAGGGGGTCGGAGTTTGCCGAGCTGTGCTGGTGTCTCTGATGCAGGTGCAGCTGTCGGGTCGGGCGAAAGGGGGAGATAGCAAAGGGGGGGGGGGGAGAATCAGCTCACGTAGCTGATTTTCCCGGCGCCTCCTGGCGCCCGAGGCGTCTATGCATCGAGGATTCATGGGCCCTTCGGTGGGGCCGGAACCAACTGCATGCAGCAAATTTCGTGACCCCCCCTTTCCCTATCCCCCCCTTTCGTCCGGCCCGAAGCTGTTCCCCGCGCTCGGTGGCCTCGCCCCCGGGATGGGAACACGGCGGGTGGAGGCAGCGCCGGTGGGTTGAACCGAATTTGGCAGGATCCGAGGTGGCGGTCAAGGTTGCCGTCGCTGGGCCCAGTGTCGGCAGTTGGGCTGCTCTTGGGCTCGTTCTGGCAGGTCCGACGGTGCTCGGTCCCTCTCGTAGCAGATGGTGCGGCACATGGTGTCGTCTACTGCGCGGTGGCGCTCGCCAAAGTTCTCCGTGCCCACGGCGAGGCGCAGCTCGACGATAGCGCCTCATGCTAGGGACGTAGGCCTCGTAACGGATCATGCGGCTCGGGTCCATTCCTTCAGCGCTGTGGCGCGGTGATGCGGGGTCCTCTCCCTGTTCAGTCTGGTGGGTCGCTGGGCCCTGTGTCCTCGCCCCACGCCCAACAGCCCGTCGGTGTCCAAGCTCTGGGCCTGGGCGGCTCCTCGATCCACGTTATGCCACTGCACTCGCATTTGTTGATCGGCAGGCAGATGTCCATGTACTTCTCTGGGCCCCAGTCTTTGTAGGCCTTGCGCACCTGGTGGATGTCGCTGTTGAGGTGGTCCATGGCCGTACTGAAGAAGAGCGCGACGTGGAAGTATCCTTCTGGTACCGCACCCATGTCCCCCGAGGTCGTGGTTTCGATGCCCGCTGTCGGCGCTCGGGATGGTCACGGGGATGCCGGTGTTGGCACGGGTAGGGTCGATTTCTTCCTGCTTATCGACACGGTCCTTGTTGCCGCGATGCCTTCATCAGGGTGCGCGTCTGTGGGTAGCTGGCCGCTGGACTGGCCCTGCGCAAAGGCCTCGACGTTGGCGTCGACGCGGGTTGGTGGCGGCACCCTCGGCTGTGGTGGTGGCAGTCGGATGGCCGGTGGCGTCGGCGCGGCCGTGTGAGTGTCGAAGGTGTTCAGGTGTTCGTGCTCCTTTGCGAGACTCGGCTTCCCTTCACTGTCGGCGTACGGCTCCTCTCGGGGACAGCGATGGGGAAAGCCTTGTGGCGCGGTCGCCTTGCGAGGGTCATCGGCGCGTGCGCATCGTCGGCAGTGTCCGTCGTTGGCGCGCGGCTTCGGTCGCAGCTTTTAATTGTGGCGCCGTGGGAGCACATGCGATCGTAGCGTGTCCTTTTGTCAGCTGCGGCTCGTCTGCGGTCAAGACCTCGATGGTGCGAGGGGACATCTGGTCGTTGACGTTTTGCAAATCTATGATGACGGTGGGGGTGCGCTTGCTTCATGTTCTGTCTCTGGTTGCCCACGATGTAATATCGTGATCCACAGGTCCCTGCACTCTGCCGTAGGTTCGCTTGTAGCTGCAGCCGGGGCGTCGGTGCTGAATGCTGTGTTGTGGTCGTTCGCGCGCAGTTTGCCAACGCCGTCTTGAGTGCCCCACCGTTTTGTCCAGGGTCCGTCCCAAGTTGATGGCGCCCGTGATCATGTCCCTCGCGATGTCGCGTACCACCTGTGCGGCTTGCAGCAGTGGGCTGCCGAAGTGCATGCTGGTGAGGGCAGAGGCTTGGTCGCGGTGGCTGAACTGGTAGATGGCGAAGACGACCTCCTTGCGGAACGCGGTGCCGTTCTTATTATATATGTCTTCGCACGAGGTGGATCGTTTTTCTTTTTCCCAGACAAGCAAGATGCAACTGTTACGGACGGCGCGCCGGCTTCCTCAAAAAAGGCGGATGCTCGGGGGTGTTCCGACTGCGCCTGGGAACGCCCTGGGCGGATTCTTCTTTCTGGGCACTGGGGCAAATGCTGGTGCATTATACCCCCCGTCGGTGGTTGGGGGGTGAGATCGCAGCGAAACGGAGACCCCCCACCAGGAAATCGGTTTCGGTTTCGTGTTCGTGTCGTGCGTGCGGGCGAGGCGAAGCTGCGCGTCATCCTTCTGTAGCTAGGCCGAAGTAGGAGCGAAAGTCCGTTCCCGTCCGCCGGGAGCAATTGGGCCGGGCGGTGTCCCAGGTGTCCCGGGTGTCAGTAGGAGCGAAAGTCCGTTTCCCGTCTGCCGGTGGCTGGGAGGTGTCCCAGTTGGGCCGGGCAGTGTCCCGGGTGTCCTGGGTGTCCCGGGCGTCCATGCGCTAACGCATGTCGCTAATTTCGTAAATCATTCTTTTCGGCGCCTGCGGCGGGCTTTCTTATCCAATCCAGCATATCTGATCCACTCCATCTTGTCCAATCCAATCCATCTTATCTGATCCAACCCATCTTGTCATATCTTATCTTATCCCACCCAATCCAATCCACCCAACCCAATCCATCAATTAACTTGTTTCTGCGCCTGCGGCGGGCCAATCCAATCCATCTTATCTTATCAAATCCATGTTCTTTCAATCCAACCTATCATATCTTATCCAACCCATCTTACCCCATCCAATCCAATCCACCCAACCCAATCCATCAATTCATTTTTATCGGCGTCTGCGGCGGGCTTTGGACATATATATATATATATATATATATATATATGTGTGTGTAGGTATATATATATATGTATGTATATATAAAGAGAGAGGGAGAGAGAGACAGAGAGAAAGAGAGAGATGAGATCAAGGTGACAGGCTGGAGGTCAGTCAGGGTGGGCATTTGATCTCAATCCCCCCCAAACCTCCTTATCGCCCGCAGGGCGGTCGTATAAGTAGTATCGCACGGTGTGGATCTGGTCAGGTGGCGCAACGTCGACCACCTCGCTGCCCTGCGCGGGTGGTGGTGCCGGAGGGCGGGACGGCCTGGGCTCGCCTCTGTCGGTCCTGTGCGGGGAAGGGGGGTCGTTGTGGTCTCGCTCTGGCACCCGGAGATCTCCGTGCCGTGGCTGGTGGGGGGCATTTCCGTATGGTGCTCGTAGCTTCCAGCTCTCTTGGGGTTCCCAGGTGGACTCTCTTTGGTGTGCGGGCCGTGGCATCTTCGCAATAGCGCGCCGTGGCTTCGTCGTTTTTGGGGCACGCTCTCCACTGGCATGGCAGCTGCATGTGGAGCGTTTGCAGCGCCTGGCGTCCTGCATTGGTCGGGATTGCGCCGCCTTCGGCTCGTGGATCAGGGGGTGGGGGCTTTCTTGAAAGGTCTGGATTGCATCTCGGTCGCATGTCGGGCTGGCCCTGCTCGCCCGCAGGGTGCGCCGTCAAGTGTGCAATCGTCGATGGTGCTGGCTTGGCTGCCGGTACTATGGCCCGTCGCCGCAATCGGCTGGCCGTGGGGGAAGGCGTGGGCCCATGCCTCCCCCGGCGATATGAGGGTGGGTGGGCTTCTGGCAACCGGGCTGACAGATTTAAAGGGGCCCCAGGATACACAAATAAATACACACAAATAAAAAGATGTCCCATATTTTCCTATATTTTCTGGGTTTTTGTCTTCCCCCCCACTTCCAATATTTTCCATATTTCCCTGGGAATCGACGATTACTTGTGTCTGTGTTTTTTCCCCTCCTGAAGATTGCCAAGTGGGGCATACGCTTTGCCACTCTGGGATCTGGGTCAGGACTGCCAGGTTGAGCCTTTCGTCGTACCCGAACTCCTGGTTCAGCTTGTGTGACGATCGCATCAACTCCAAATGTTTGTCGGCCGGTGCCCTGTGTTCCTCGGCTATGTTGTCGTAGCAGGTCATTTTGAAAACGAACAGGTCGCCGTGGAAGTCGATACTGGATGGCGGTTTCCATGAAGTCTTGGAATGGTGTTTTTGGGTGGCCGCTGGAGGAGCGTACGCGTTGGCGGCGGTATCACATCCATTCCACGTTGTCCGCATCATCTGGTAATGACGGTGCCGTTATCTTCCGTTTTGTCCGTGGCTATGTCTCTGTAGACAAGGACTGGTCCCGTGTGCCGTAGCTCACCGAGCTCGACTGGCCCCGTGGGTAGCTTGCCTGCACCTGATCCGAATGTCAGCTCAATTGGTGGTTCTGGTCAGAATGGTAGCCTCGGGGATGCGGTGAAGCGGTTGAGGTGGTTGACATCGTCCTGGCTGAGGCGGCAGAGCGGTCCCTTGAACGGGGTGGCAAGCACCAGTGGCGGAGGCTCTTTCTCGGCAAGCTGCCTCGCGTTGCGCCATGGATGGTCACAATGGGGCCGCTGCTCACAATAGTCTCTGTAGTTGGCCTGTCCCTTCACGGCGACGTTCTCGTTTCCTCCTCCTCCTGCTTCTCCTCCTCCTCCTCCTCATTCTCCTCTTGATCCTTCTCCTCTTGATCCTCCTCCTCTTGATCCTACTCATCCTCGTCATTCTTCTCGCTTCCCCCTCGTCCTCCTCGTCCTCCTCCTCCTCCTTCCCCTCCTCCCCTCCTCCCCTCCCTCTTCCACTTCCAGTTCCGCTCCTCCTCAAACGGCTCCTCTACCCATTCCCCATCAAACGGCTCCTCGTAACATCCCTCCCTCTCGTCCTCCTGATTATCCTCTCTCTGGCGCCAGCACAACTACCCCGTCGATCTGCGCGGCGAAGACGATGCACCCGGAGATCCTGTAGGCCTCTTTGACCATGCCTGGCTCGTAGGCCCCCCGGGAGCAGGAGGATGGGCAAAGACAGCAAGGTCAGCCTCCTCCTCATCCTCCTCCTGTTCATGCTCATCCTCCTGCATCCTCCCCGTCCTGGTACTGCCTCCTCCGGCCTCCGCATCCTCTTCACAACATGCCTTTTCAGTCTACACCTCCTTATCGTCCTCCTCCGTCTTATACATCGAGCACTGTGCTGTCACGGTCACCTTTCTGCGGCCGCCGTGCAGGCATGTCAGACGAGCCCAGGCCACGCCCCGCCACGCGGCGGGCAAGGTTCCCACTTCTGGAGAAGACTTCGACGCATGTGCGGTAAAGGGTGAGCGCCCGGGGTCTAGAACGGCCTTGGCGGAGACGGCGTCCGCCGATCCTCCTGCTTCTCCTCCATCCTCCCGCACCTGCACTACCCTGTCACCCCCAGAGAGAAGACTCCTCATGCTCCTCCTCCTCCTCCTCCTCCATCTCCTCCTCCTCGCACGTAGCTGCGCGCCACGTGTCCCTCATCCGCGCCGGCCGCCGCGCACCCTCGCCCGCGTAAGCTGGACCCTCGTGAGGGGTACAGCAGACTGTGCCACCTCTAAAGAAAGAGGTTCAGGTGGCAGGAAGAGCGAGCGGAGATTCACAAACAGGAGATAGGCAGCAGCGGGGACGGTAAGACTAGAGATGGTCGGGAGAAAAACACCAGAGCGACAGATCGGACAGTAATGAACTTGGGAGCACAAAACAGATTCGAGAAGCTGGATGAAGCGTGGGCAGCACCAATAGTGGACGAAGCTGTCAGGGCCGCCGCAGCCCAGCAGACAGCACAAGGGCACACTGTCGTGAAACCGCACGGCTGTGATCCAACTACCAGAGAGAGTCTTCCATATCGCATTCACTAAAGGGCCTCTCATTCGAATGAGAAGCTCGCGGACCTCTTCCCATTTCACGTGCAACAGGACCTCCGCGGCCTCAGGGAACCAACGGGCCCAACGCTCCGAGAAAACAACGTCCAGGGAATCAGGGAAGAGTTCTCGTTGGAAAATCTTCAGCAGTCTACCTTGCATCTTCACATTCTTAGGGGGGCGAGAGAGGGCGGAGGCAGAGGTCAAGAGCTCCAGCGCAGCCCCACGGGCGATCGATCCAGCTCGAGCCAGGTCCCGAGAGCGAGAGAAGCCACCTGCCGCATCCGAGAGATGCTCCACAAACGCTGGTGACTGCCAGAAGCGCGGGGACAGTTTCCCTGCCGAGAGATCAACGATCTCAAGATGGCGAGAAGCAAACTCAGACAGCTGGTCCAAGAGCATTCGATATTCAGGGAACGTGTTGACAGCTGCTCTCATAAGAGTGGCACAACTCAAGGACCTCACGCTCGTGAGTTGCGGTCCTCCCCACAGGTGAAGTGAGAACCATCCACTCCGAGGAAGCGTGCAATGGGGGACTTTGAAGAGAGAGGCGAAGGAGGCATGCTCAACACGAGAGAGAGGGGCAGGAAGGGCAGGGCAAAGCTCAGGGATGGGACAGAATTGGGCGACATAGGTAAGGGTTGAGACGGCACGGCTAGAGTACATATACTCTGTGATGGCCGGCGGCGCGCCGACTTTGGCAATCTGCACTGTACGTCCTGCCCACTTCAAAAGAGGCTTGTGCCAGCTCTCAGTGGTCACACTGGGCCCAAGAATCATGCCAAGATAGGTCAGGGAACTAACAACCTGGAACGCTCCCCAGTCGGGGGGAAAGTTCTGAAGCCAGAATCGATACTTGGTGACGAGGGTGGCCGAGAAGGGGCCCGCAAGAGGAACCAGGAAACACTTGGCATACTTGAGCTTGAGACACGCTAGGGCCTCACTGCAGTCGAATACGGCCTTCAGTTGAAGTAGATCACGAAGCGCTGAAACCACAGATCCAATATCATCAGCACAAGCCCTGGCCATACTCATCTGGCGTTCTCGAGCTCGACCTATGAGATCTTCTCGCAGCTCGCCAGGTGGCACATCATTCTGAGCCTCCAGTCGCCTCCACATATCCACGAGAAAGGGGTGGCTCCCGACGGCGAAAAGGGCGCCAGATCCTGGGCATCCTTGAATGATCCCCGACATGATGTAAAACAAGAAACAGCAAACTCTGCCGAAAGTGCCAAAGCAGCGAACGTTCGTATACAACGTCTCTACGAAGATCTGCATGGGCAGCGGCACATGGAAGGCAGCAAGCGACATCATGATCCATCGGTGCGCGACCGACGGGAAGGCCTGTCCATAATCGAAAGATATCAAGGCTGGAAGCCGAACAGCGGCATCGGGTAGCATCGAAACCATTCGGGCTCGCACGTCGAGCTCGAGAATATTTAGACCAAAATTCCTCCCTCCGACGAATCCCCTTTGAGAATAATGGACTTTATCACCCAGTCGACGGGATAAACTCTCAAAAACGACGCCCGTGACCAGCTTGTTCGACGATTGTTTTAGTCCTAGAGGCCGGGTAGCTTCAGCGTTTCGAACGATCATATGGGAATCCTGCTCCTCATCTCCTTTGGCTATGAATACTCCTCGAACATCATTGAATGCTGGCAACATGCTCCTCCCACTTAATAACCACCAAACCACCTCATCTAGAATGTTAAGACCGTGTGGATGTCGTTTCCATGCTCGATAGGGGAGGCCATCCAACCCTGGGGAACTATCTTCCGCACGTTCGATACGCCGTTGAAGTGCATGCAAGGATGGAGGGGGAAGGTCAGAAAGATCAATACCATCACAATGCTGACGAAGATAAGATTGGGCAGCTGGAACATTGATGGACTTTTCTGCAAACACGGGTCGCCAATGTTCCCCAAGCTCTTGGAGGACAGCAGCTGGCGTCGAGACAACCGACTCCCCATCGGAGGCTCGTACTCCTTGCAGGGTCATTCTGCGATCAAAAGGCGTCCAGAGGCGGCTCCTGCGATGCGTGCACTTAAGCCGTCGCCTGGCTTTCGCTCTGGCGTGCTCTGCACTGGCATTCGCAATGTCCTGTTTGTGTTTAGCTTCTCGTTGTTTGGCAATAGTGAGGTGAATCTCATTGGCTCGCCTCTGGAACTCTGGCGGGTCAATCAACTCCACTGTCCCCTCCAGCAGGTTGATCTGTAGAAACTCCTTACCTAGAGCGTGAGATCGCCAAACTCGGTGTGCTAGACGTACATCCTGCCTCCAGAGGCATCGCCCGATACTTTTGATGACCAGGAGCTGGGTAAAACCCGAGGAAGGTGATTTTCGAATCAAGGAGTCCCGAGCGATCTTGGCGGCCTCACGCATCATCTCAGTCTGAAACGCTAGCCTCAAGGGTGGTGTCATCCTGCTCTGGTCACACTCAGCCTCTACCGCTTCCAGGAACCGAACGTAGTCAGGATGTTCGCAGACTTCGGGGGCGACTGGCCTCCCAGAGGCCGGGATAGATCCAGCAGGTTTGAGGGTGACCTGGATCGGGGCGTGGTCGGATATCCCTTTCTTGCTGAGAATATCAGGGTATTCAACTACCTTCCCTTCGACGGACATCTGCAGGAGCATCCACCCAGGCATCGAAATAAACTGCCGATCTATGTAGCTGAGCATCCGCGTCGGCTGGTAATGATGGGTAGGTTCTGGCACTTCTAATTCCACCATCCTCCTCAACACCTCCATCCACCCACAGTCCTGCGTACTCCTCCACTCCTGAAGATACCGAAGCGTCTGCTCATCTACTTCCGCCTCAGGTTCCTTGCGTGGCGGCGTGCATGCAAAGTTGAAATCACCTGATATGATGACAAGCAACGCAGACGGGTCCGCCTCGGCGACCTCGAGGTCGTACTTAATTGAATCCAAGGCCTTCTTCTTAGCTATGGATCCTAGTTGGTAGTTGTGAACATTGTAGTGGACGACGGCAAAATCCCCAAAATCAATCGCAACTCTGAGAACTCGACCTGGGACCTGAACTTCTGGAAGAATCAGAGGGGCCTCGGAACCAAGGTGCAGGAAATTCGGCACAAAGGTCGTAACACCTCCGGCATTGGAACTTGAACAGAACGAGCTAAATGCGGTATATCTATGATGTAGATTGTGCTGATAAAGAAGGTCTTGGACTTGTAACTCACTACCGTGGCATTCTTGCACCCCTATGATACTGCCTGGAAGAAAGAGTTGTCGGAGGAGATGGGCTTTCCTTTCTTGGAGGGGGAGTTCGTGATGGAAGAGGGCTCGGGCATTCCAGGATGATAGTATCAAAGGCAAGGTCATGCCTCTCTCGTCGCGCCAATGGCGCTGGAGCCCGCTAAAGAGACCACTGAGGGGGTGCTGCGACGTGCCCTGATGCATGGAAGCGTTGGAGCACAAGATCTTTGTCCAGCCCCAAGGCGAGCATGTTGGGCATACACCATTCCAGGACGGGCTCCTCGTCTCCAGGTTTGGGCGTGAAACGTACCAGAGGCTTCCAGTTCGCCGACAGCTCGCCTTTCGCCTTGTCGGCGAAAAGGCGCAGGTTGCCATCGACCTCTTGGAAGGCCTTCCGCAACTGCTTGAGGCCGAGTTCCTTCTTGACCATGGCGGGGTTCTTGTCCGTGCTGACGTAAATCTCACAATTCGCACCAAGCATGTCTTTGCATGCGTGATGTTCCCACTGTCCATTTCCGAGTCGTAGTGCTCCCATCGCCTGGGCCACCTTCCTGGCGGCGTAGGTGGCGTTCCCCTTGACGCGGAAGACGAACCGCTTCCCAGCGGGCTCCGACTGGTAGTCATAGTCATCTGGTGCAAGCTGGGCACGGGCCAACCAGTCAGCCAGAGCTCCTTGAACTGCGCCACGACTGCATACATTCTTCGTCCTGGCGACGATGATGCACGGGTCAACCATCCTGTTGAAGGACGTGTCGGTGACCACGGTCTGCGGCTCTTCGTTCTTGATGCACTGCAATAGTTCCTGTAGCTGGGAGACTCGCCGCTCCAGGGTCGTGACACGGTTGTTGGTGCTCTTCTGCTCGGCCTGCAGCTCCGCGTAGCGCATCTCCACCCGCTTGGTGATGGCGTCGCAGTTGGCCGAGATGGTGGTGCTGAACTGCGTGACACTGGCGTGCAGCTTGGCGACGGCTCCGAGCATCTCTCCACGGGTGGAATCAACCACAGCGCGCAGATTAGCAACAGCTTCAAGAGGATCCTCGGCAAGACGGGCAGTCTTGCTCGGGGGGCTCGCACTGCCACCTGTCGCTCCAGCCTCCTGGGACGGGAACGTGGCCATGGCGTCGAGTTCTTCTGCCAGCCGCCGAGCCTCGGGGCTGCTCGGCATGGCATGGGCCATGCCACACAGTCAGATGCCAAAAAGTACTCACAGCGCCAGGCGGCTCCTGTGAGGATCGTGGGGTGAAGGCTGCGGGACTCGGGCCAGCCCCTCGCCTGCGTTCAAGCTAAAGCCGCCAGGGCACCGCGGTTTTAACTTGAGCCAAAATGGCTTGAGCCAAAATGGCTACGGACCTCCATCTCCTCCTCCTCCTCCTCCTCCTCCTCCTCCTCCTCCTCCATCTTCTCCTCTTCCTCCTACTCCTGCTCCTCCTCCTCCTCCTCCTCCTCCTCCTCCTCCTCCTCCTCCGTCCTCCACCTCCTGCTTCCTCCTGCTTCTGTTTCCTCCTCCCCCTCATGCTTCCTCCTCCTCCTCCTCCTCCTCCTCCTCCTCCTCCTCCTCCTCCTTCCCTCCTCCTCCTCCTCCTCCTCCTCCTCCTCCTCCTCCTCCTCCTCCTCCTCCTCCTCCTCCCCCTCCTCACGCTCCTCCTCGCATCCTCCGCCCTCCAGGCGCCCGCAGCTCTGGGTGCCCTCCACGGGCGCGGACCCCCCCCCCCTCCCCGGGGGGCTGAGCGGTTTCGGGGCGGCGGGCGCTTGCCTCTGAAGGTCCAGCCGTGGAACTTGGCGGCGGGGAGGAAGCCGTAGAC